GAGTTTATTGCTGTCCTCCATTCGCGAACTTTGAGTTCCGGGCTTTACGCCCTGGGGCTACTCGAGAACGATTCTGAAAGGAGCGGTGCGCGATAGCCTGGTGATGGTGCCTCCATATGGCGCGAAACAGTTCTGGAACTTTATGACTCAATTGAATGGAGTGAGAGTATCGCGTTCTTGAACAGTTCAGAGCTGCTCAACTGCGTGAAAGGAGGACAGCATATATGAACGATTTCACATGGGTCGCGTATGCTCCGTCCGGATAAGCTATATTGAAAAAACATCCGCGCGGACGCTCCGCTCCATCTGAGAGCGCTGTAAGATTTTCAATCAATATTTTAATTTTTTCTTTTATAAAAGTGAATTTAAATAGTTTACTACAGCACTGGGATATTTTTAAAAGACATCTAAACTTTGGTAATGTATTGACTATAGTGTATACATTCGTCTAGAATAATTAGACAGATATGAATAATAACTAATAATATAATAAATAATAAAATTGTTCGTGACATTACCGCAACTTATTATTATTTTTCTGTTTCCTAATTTTCCTGTCAGTTTTTTAGTTAGATTGGTGTTTTACATTTATATTTATTATATTTGTGGTTATTTTACCGATATTTTTTATCATTTCCACACAAATTTTTAGGTACATAATAGGTCTGTTCTCAGAAGAATCCCTGACTAGTCAGCACGTTTCTCATTGGTTAAAATGCGTAGAAACCTGATTGTTAGTCTGGTTTCTACACATTTCAACCAATAAGAAACGCGCTGACTAGTCAGGGATTCTTCTGAGAACAGACCTAATATGAATATCATAAATTTAACATTTTATTTAATGTTTCGAATATAAAAACAACAGTTTTGTTATTTTATTTCAGTATAATGGAAAATGTATAGTTTATTATTAGTATTGTTTGTGTGATAACTACTCACGGTCTACTTTTATAAATATAATTGTATTACCTATAAATGAAGTTGGTTTGGAAGGCAGGCAATTATCATGAACTTTGCTGAGTTTGGGAATTCGTATATAGAAATTAATATTTATAAGATAGTTACTAGTTACACTTATCAACATTACAATTAATCAAGTTTACACTTGATAATGGTCAGTGATCCTTCTGACCGAAACGTTGTGTTAATCAAAATAAATAAAGACAATGGAAGTCCGAAATTATTTTATTTTTAATACTGAATCATTGTCTACCACATTCAAAGAAATATTAATGTAAAAGTAGCGAAGATTACATGATGTAGAAATTAAACAAAAAACATCAAAATTATTTTTTAATTTTTAAGCTTCTCCTTTGCAGTATCTGCAATTGGATGTTCAGTGGCGGATACAGAGGGGGGCCCATGGAGCCTTGGCCCCTCTAAAATCTATAAATTGCTTTAAATATTAGGCTGTTTGGTTAAAAATAGCGTCCTAAAAAGGATGATCCCTGTAGATGTTGGTTTCTCATTTTTAGGGTTCCGACCCAAAAAGTAAAAAACGGGAACCCTATTACTAAGACTTCGCTGTCCGTCCGTCCGTCTGTCACAAAGGTCTATCTTATGAACCGTTATAACTAGACAGTTGAAATTTTTATAGATAATGTATATATATGTTGCCGCTATAAGAACGAATACTAAAAACAGAATTAAATAAATGTTTATAAATAAAAAAGTACTTTCACTAAACATTATCTTTTAAGTAAGAATTTTACATAGAATCTTTCAATTCCTTGGTGGCCACGTGGTTAAAGCGTTAGGACTTTACGCTGCGATGACGTTGGAGCCGTAGTAAGGCAGGTTCGAATCCTAGTCAAGGCGACTTTTTTTTAATCGTTTCTTTTTAATTTTTACATATTTATTTTTACTTTTTACATATGTATTATTGATTAATACAATTTTTAGTAATGTGTTTCTTATTTTTTTTTTAAATTACTTATGCGGGCATTCAAAATTTTAGTTAAATCGGAAAAAAAAATTATAATAATATAGTGTCTAATGTTGTATAGATAATGAATGGTACGGAACCCTTCGTGCGCGAGTTCGACTCGCACTTGACCAAATTTTTAATATAGTTAGGTTGCAGCTCCAAACTGCGGTCAATTGAGAATAACATTCTTACTGAAAAGTCAGAACGTTTTTTTGTTAGTATGCCTCTATGTTTACCTATTTCTTTAAGAATTAGTCAAATATGAGTAATAAAAGTACATAATTAGAAACTTTAGTCTCGCTAATTTCCTCAATTACATTATTTGTGTTCGCCATTTACTTACGTTTATTTCTTCCATCCCTTTTGTATTCGCGTTATTGTTTATTAATGTTAAAAAGTTGAATAACCTCACAGTTGATGTATAATAAATAATACGTATTGTAGTTTAATATACACAATAAATAAACTATTAAATTTATGAAATAATCATTAATCTTATATTAAATATAGTGGAACTTATTGAAAATAGGTTCCATTATGATTGTTATTCATAAAAATATGATATTATATGATTCGCGGCGGCTTTATTACTGATGTTTCATGAACTGGCTCTACTCCTAAAGAAATCTACTGGTCAAAAAAAAACACTTAACAGGCAATATTTTTCCCATCCTCGCGTCGCTTCGGAAGGATAATATCTATTTAATATAATAATAACTCCCGTATATAGCGTTTAACGCCTTGGGAGTAGCAAGGTACAACTTAGAACTAGAGCCGTTCGGTATACAAGGAAGGTAATGTGGCTAGCACTACGCTTCAACCGACTATTATTACCTCAGGATTGTGAATCCCAAGTACTCATTTAAGGCTGAGTCGACCTAGGTACCCAAACTATTTTTATTTTAATAAAAATAGTCGGCTGATGAAATGCCGGGTGTGGGAATCGAACCCACTACCTTCAGATTGGTAGACGAGAGCCTGTACCTCTACGCCACCGGACACCTTAATATCTATTTAAAATGTCTAAATATTTTATTATTTTCTAAGACTAACGTTATACAGGGTGGTCCGAACTGTATTCCGGAAACTTCGGCAGCGTATTCTGCAGATAAAAATAAGTAACGAAGTTCGTATAAATGTATATCCTAAAATGCTTAGTTTCGGAGATACAGGGTGTAGAAAATTTATTTTTATATCGATTTTTTCCAAATAATTTCTGAAGTAACGTGAATATTTAGATGAAAATTGGTGTCTGGGAGTTGTTTGACATGAGAAATTTAGGTTTGATAATATGACTCCTATTTGTAGAGGGCACCACCTATATATTTTTTAACTGGTTTCAAGAGTAATAACTTTTCGTTAGTACCTGTATAAAACTACTGAGTAAAAAAATATTTTTTAATAAAACGTTTTTTTTTAAATAAAAAAGGTCTCTTGATAAAAATCGCTACCAGTAATGACTCTCAACATATTTGGAATCGAAATTATCAATACCTGCATCATTGACATAAATTAAACATATTGACTAAATGAAATCATAAATTTGAAATGTTTTTGTGTCAAAAGTTCAATAGAAACAATTTTATCATTATTTTCTACAAGAAAAAATTATAATTAATTAAAAAAATAAAAAGTTCCCAAATTTATCATTTCAGTCAAATAACTATCTACTAAACTTGTTTATTTTTTATCAATAATGACATGTATTGACTATTTCTATTCTAATTATCTTGAGAACGGTTACTCGTAGCAATTTTTACCAAGAGACATTTTTTACGTAAAAAATATCGGAAATGTATATTTTTTACTCAGTAGTTTTATACAGGTACGGACAAAAAGTTATTAGTCTTCAATACAGTTGCGCCCCTACAAATAGGAGTCAAATTGATACCAAAATCAAATTGATCATGTCAAAAACTCTTAGACACCAATTTTCATCCAAATATTGACCTTACTTAAGAAATTATTTGGAAAAAATCGAATTAAAAATGAAACTTCTACACTCTGTATCTCCGAAACTAAGCATTTTATGACATACATTTATACGAACTTTTTTACTTATTTTTAACTGCAGAATATGCTCCCGAAGTTTCCGAAATTCAGTTCGGTCCACCCTGTAGATAAATCAAAGAATATTCAAACATCGCATCATTTTCAGATGCTTGTGCAATGTATTTATTTATATTTCAATAAAAAAAATATTTTTTTTCGTTTTTACTATGTCTTATTTTTGACTGAATCTGACAAATACTATTAAACCTAGGACCAAACTATCTAAATTATTGTGCTGTTTTGCAATAATTATTATTGTAGCTAACTATCTGCTCGTTAACCAGTCATAACTTATCTTTTTATGTCTTGAAACGAAAGATATTGACATAGTTTAACTTTTTCGTGAAAATATAGAGCAAGATTTTCCTTGAATCACTGAATTCCTTCCATCATAGTTTTTTGCAAACTTGATTTGTTACATTGAAGACCAAAAGTGCTTTCAAATTCTCCCTTAAAACCTTGAACATTAACATTTCTCGGTTTTCCCCATCGGTCACCGTTATGTTTTATTCTGTAAACTTTGATGATGCCGCTATTTCCCGAAAAAAACAATTGGTCTTGACTGTCTTAAATCGAGAATGAAATTAGTACCATCGAATGTTCAAAGTACTTACTACAAGTCGAAATATGGTAGTAAAAAGAATATGTAGTAGAAATATTATGCGGTAGAAATTTGGATTTCCAAAGGAAACTTACGTTTGCCTTGTCGAGTTTACCTTCTAGAAGTTACATTTGATTTTTATTTAAATCCTATGATTAAAATAAAAAAATGGGTCGATTTAAATTTTTGCGCCCTGTCTAAATAAATCTAACAAATAATTTCCCCAAATTGCAACCTCCAACGTCCATCAACTTAACTGATATATGACGAAACCCATTAGAAAGAATGTGCGAGTAGGAATAAATTAAGTTTGAAAATTATTTATTATTACTTTATTGGTCTCTTATAAGTAGATTATTTTATACATTTTACGAAAAGTGTACTAATATTTATATTTTTTATTCCGCAGAGGAATGGCAGAGGACCATGAAGCTCACATGCTGGTTGCAGAATGGAGATTGCACAAATTTCAGTCTCCCATTGAGCTGAGCCATGAAGAGAGCATCACCCATGACCATTTCGATCCGCTTGAGTTTCACGGCCATTGGGATAACGACGGAGTAGCTACCTTTACAAACACTGGAAAAACTGGTAAGTTACAAAAAATAGCTATTATATTATTGGTACATTTTTTGTATTAAAAAATTCAGAATACTATTGAAAATATTCATCATTTAGAATTTGTCCTTTTTCCAATTAACTGTTAGTCATGCCTTAAATAAACCAAAATATTAATTCTTTATTTTTTTTAATATTGATTCTGTACAATTACTGAAAATATGTTCGGTTAATATTGAACCTGATAGTTTTTATTGTAGTAGCAATACTAGGCAGGACAGAAAACTATAACTGTATGAAATTTTTTAATTTAAATATGCAGTAATATTTTTAATGAACCTATACCGGGTGCGTCTCAAAAGTGGCTCACCCCTCTAACTTTTTTATTTTTTTAGTTAAAAAAACGAGATTTGGTTTGTTAGTATACGACATAAATTAGGATTGATTGACGTATTCAATTGTTTTCGGTCACTTCCTGTTTCACCGGAAATGACTACAACTTTTGATTTTTAAATGGCACCCTCGGTATTTTATACTTTATTCGATAGAAAATAACACTCTGAATAGAATGACATATTATATGTCAACTTTTGACATTTTTGCATATGGTTTATTTGAAATTATAACTTGCGGTTCGTAACGAAAATTTGACTCGAAATACCAAGTGTGTAGTATCAAATTATTCATAAAAAAATGCTTTTTCAAAATATGCTAATGAGCCATCCTCGTTTCATTTGAAAATATTGAGATATGATTAAAAACAGGATTTGAGTAGTTTTTAACCGGCCAGGACAAGACACTAAAAACATTAGACGATCAAATCTATTTTTCCAAGGCTTCTTGATTAAGAATTATTGTTTTTAACATAGCCATTGCATTCTAGATTGAAAATTAAAATAAGATTTTTATTAAACGGGAATGTCAAAAGTTGACATGTGTTATGTCATTCAATTCAGAATGTCATTTTATATCAGAATAAAGTAAAAAAAATACCACGGGTACCATTTAAAAATCAAAAGTTGTAGTCATTTCCGGTGAAACAGAAAGTGACCAAAAACAATTGAATACGTCAATTAATCTTAATTTAAGTCATATACTAACATACCAAATATCGTTTTTTTTTATCTGAAAAAATAAAAAAGTTATAGGGGGTGAGCCACTTTTGAGACGCACCCGGTATATTGTTGTAGTTTTTGGAAGAAGTACTCGCATGCTCAGGTATATAAATATTTTTGATTGGTGTTTATAATATTTAATTAATATTTTTTCCACAGTAGTGGAATTTTTTAAATATTAAAAGAATTAAGTTGTAAGGGGAAAAAATAAAATTTTGCAAAATAATTTATTTTCTGTGTGCATACCGGATATTAGTACAAATATTAATCTTTTATGATTCCTTTAACGTCCAAATAATGTCTACAAACATCTTGATGACAAGAGAAAGGAGATGTGTAAGCAGAGTTATAAGATTTATAATATCCATTAAATCTCATAACAGGAACTGATAATGTTGTCACTGGAAACAAAGATATGAGTGTAATACAATCCAACTATTTATATTATAATTATTCAGTCACCATTTAAACAAACTATTATAAACAAAAGGAATATGTATGTTCGTTTTATATTATAAGGTTCCAGGTTAATGGCTTAATATACAGTTCATACCAAATAAACTTTGTCACGTGATTAAGCTTGATTTGGTTGCTCGCACAGCGTTGCCCACTTTTATATATTTTCTTTTTATCAAAATATTTTAGGAAACAAAAATAAATTAATTATAAATAAATAAACAGTTATTTACATGAAAAAAACTCACCTTCTTAACAGCACTTAAGGGGCATAAAGGGCCATTACTACCACTTTCCCGTTCAAAAAATTCTAATAAAGTTGCGATGGGTTTTTTACGGCTATTAAGCTATTTTGTACACTTCGCACTAAAAGACTGCAAGATCTGCTAGTAAACATTTTCAAGCTTAAAGTATCGCGACACTATTTATTTAAACCAAAAACTCAAAGTGTCAAAACGAATGACAATGTCAGAAAATAAATAAATAAATGCGGCAACTTGACAATTTTTACAGCAAAGCTACCACCTAAATCCCCAGCGCGAAATTTAAATTCCTGTTAGTCAGTATGGCGCACATTGGTTTAGATTCAAAAAAATCGACGCATAGGGATCAAGAAAAAAATTTCGAAAATTTCAACAATGATATTATTTTCAACAGATGATGGGTCCATTTATTCAAATTTATCACGATCCACTTTTTAATCGTAATAAAAAAGCGTACAGGAATGTTGTTTTCGTTAGATTTTGTAGTTTAAATATATCAGTTATTTGCTGATAATGGTTTAGTGTTGCTAATATATTTTGGTTCTTAGTTCAGAGACTTGGAAATAAATTAAATTATAATGGTTTTTGAAGATCAAGGTAAGGTACTTTTTAAGAAAATTTCACACCTCTACTTTTCAACCAATAACATGCTTTAATGTTGACTAGTTACCATGGCAACTGAAAAAATTTCCGGAAATTTTTTCGAGGCGCCACGAAACTTTAGTGGAATTTTTTTGACAGTTGAAAAGGTAAACATAAGATCTACAATCATAATGTGAATGAACTACAATGTCTATATATTGAAATATTACCCATTTGAGTTTTAGCATTTGATGTAACTAAGGTTGGTAATATTTTTTATTTAAGGAAATATGTTCACTGGTTAAGGCTGAAGCACTCACTTTTCTTTCTGCTGAATCTCTCTGTAGTATTTTGCGCTTAGCATCGCGTGCAGCTCTGGCGGTCACAAATTCCACATCAGAAAACGGATTAAATTTTATTTTATATTTTTCGTAATAAATTTCTTGCAACTGCTTAGCAGTAGAGTTCCACATCACTTTGACCACACTTTCCTTATAATCTCCAAAATTTTTCTTTTGCATATTAAATGCGTAGTCCTCCAGTATAGTAGCCAGCTGTACTACACTCATACACTCATGAATATTATACGACTTTTCATCACAAAATTCAACAAACTGTTTCCATACACTTGATTTTGATTTTCGGGTGTTATCTGGTTTTATATTTTCAATTTCTTCTTTAATGACTTGTTGGTTTACTTTTCCAAATCGCGACATTTCGCTTTACTTCTTACTCTACGTACAGACGTTTTAAAACTAGTAATAGCTTAATGCATAGATGCAAATTTGAACAAGTTTAGGCGCTATTCTTGCAACGGTCGCGACCCAAAACTTTTGAAAATTTCAGACGGTTCGGCTTTTCCGGAATTATATCGCCAAATATTGTTTATTCAAATTTATTATTATTTTCGTTTAATTTTATAAATAAAATACAGTGTGTTGCATACAAGAAACTTTATTTTATATAAGGACGCATGTATGAAATACCTATGAAACATTGGAAACCGACGTTATGCCACGATCCACGATGGTTTTTGCATTTCACAGTACACAGCACAGCTTTTTAAGTTTTTAATGCCACTTTTTTACAATTATTACCGGTTGGAGTAAATAAAACTTGAATTAAACTCACAAGATAGCAATAATTACTGTGAAAATGGATGCTATAAACACTTTTCGGAATTTCTTTAATGAGAGCGGTTTAGATTTTGAAAGATTATTATGATTTTTGAAGATTCTGACTTTGACAAGAGAAAATTATTTCTGTTTTTGTTTGCCGTTGTTCTTAGCGATCGCTATAGCAGCGCCAGATCGCGTATAACGGTCGCGACCCAAAATAATTTCGCGACCTAAAATTTTTACGGGCTTTCCAATCTAAACTTGTTGCATTTATCTATGGCTTAATGACAGAATCGCAAACAAAAATGGCAAAACACATAATATGTCAAAAACATCAATACCTTGGTCAACTTAACAAATTGAAATTATTTTAAAATGTCATGTTGGATTAATATTTTTTTTTCAAATTTAGGTGTGAAATTTTCTTACCGAATACCACGCAAGCTTAAATTATTCCTGGAAATTTTCTTTCGGGCACGAATATTTTAGGAAAATTATCCCTCGTCTTCGACTCGGGATAATTTTCAAAATATTTGTGCCCTCAAAAAAATTTCCGAAAATAATTTAAGCTCTTGTGATATTATAAGTGAGAATTTTATTAACTTAAATATTTTTTATGAAGCTAGTAGTTATCTCAAACATAGCAGAGCGTTTTTTTTTTTGAAAAAAGTTAAACTTTGAAATTGCGTATCTTTAGAACTCCGCAGATCTCCGCTTTTGTATTTTATAATTTTTAAAAGGTATTATACCAAGTTTAATTTACCACAAGTATCTTACCCCACGAGACCCCGAGGTAGATGATATATAAATTAGAATTTTAAATTGACCGATAGTCTGATTTTTGTTCCATGGATAATTTCTTAAATTATTATACTAATATTTTTTGGGTAACTCTGGAGTGGCAAAAGTGTAACTATAGAAACTCACATGTTCCTCCCGTACTCTACTCCTTTTATTTTTAGGAACAATAAGCCGCAGATAAATATGTGAGAGGTATTTGAAAATGGGTTTTAATAATAGGTCAGAAGCGGATATTATTGATGAAATTATTTAATTTTTGTGTGATAATAATATTCCTAACATATTATCGAAAAAAAGCAAATTGAAAATTTTGTTTAAAAATGGTCAGAAAAGTGGAGGAAATGTAATTATACTTGGAGCAGTTTTATTTCCAATAATTGTCTCTGGCTGAATAAAAATTTACTTCAAATGGAAGAGAATCAATCTTTTCATGACCCTAGCCCTTCAAGAAGATTTTTTTTCAGAATTGTCCCAAAAAAAATAAAGAGACCAAAGGTATCTATTGCCAAGGAATTAATTTATATCTTACAGAAAAAAAACATGTTTTTTTATCTACATAATGCTGCAAATATTGCAGTATTGCTTTTAATTAATGGCAAAGATTAAAAATCAATTTATTTCTAGAAATTAGAGATTCTTACACCTCGGAAGTTCTGGCATATGCTACAGTTTCTAATTTAAGGAAGGAACATAAAAAT